ACCTACCTGCTCGGCACCACATTTACAAATATTTGCTTCATCTACCACTGATACACAGTGGCAGTGGTGTGTACCATCTACAAGAACTTCACAAGGCTTGTTAGGCAGCAGTTTCCAAACCCACAACCACTATCATCTAGAAAGACAAGGGCAGCAGGTACGTGGAGCACCACATTTTGCCAGATCCCATCCAAGCCACTCACCATCCTGACTTGAAATATATTGCCATTTCTTCAGTGCCACTGAGTCAAAATCCTGTGAGCTCTGTGTGCATAATACAGCAAATGGACTGCAGCAATTCAAGAAGATAGCTCACTTACCACTTTCTTGACACCACTAGGATGGGGAGGTGATGGCCTAATGGTATTATCGCTGAACTGTTAATCCAGAGACCCAGATAACATTCTGGGGACCCCGGTTTGAAGCAGGTGGTGGTGAACTCATTTTTATCTTGAATTAAGAATCTAATAATGACTGTGAATCCATTGTCGATTGTCGGAAAAACCCATCTGGTTCACTAATGTCCTTTAGGAAAGGAAACTGCGTTCTTGCCTGGTCTGGCCTACATGTGACTCCAGACCCACAGCAATGTGGTTGACTCTTAACTGCCCTCTGGGCAATTAGGGATGGGCCATAAATGCTGTCTAGCCAGCAATGCCCTCATCCCCTGAATAAATAAAGAAAAAAAAACTAGGACTGGGCAATAGATAGTTACCCAGCCAAAAACAGCTCATATCCTCTGAATATGAAAAAAAGAGATCTACAGTCCTGGAAAAGGACAATTCTCTAACCTGTAACCTGTTTCTACCCTTGTACAATTTATGCATATGACCTGTAGTTTACCCAAAAGTATCTAATTGAAATAATCCATTGTGCATACAGTCTATTCCTTTTGTTAATTTTAACATCCCTATCAAATCACCCCACAATCTCCGCATTTCTAAAATAATCCTAGTTTTTAGAGGTGAGCAGGAAATGCTTTAAGTATGTTGTGAAGAGAGCAACAGTGATGTTTCCCCGTGTCTGCGTGGGTTTCCTCCGGGTGCTCTGGTTTCCTCCCACAGTCCAAAGATGTGCACGCTAGGTGGATTGGTCATGCTAACTTACCTGTAGTGTTCAGGGATGCGTAGATTAGGGGAATGGGTCTGGGTGAGTTGCTGTGAGGGTTGGTGTGGACTTGTTGGGCTGAAGGGCCTGTTTCCACACTGTAGGGATTCTATGAACTTCTATAACATGAAGAGCGGAGGTAGGAATGAATGGAATCTCTGTGGTCAGATGATGCACAGGTGTAATTTAAATCATAAAAGCAATGATAGTACAAGGCAAAAGTGAATAGTAATGGAACTAGTGAAGTAATAAAAGATGGCTGTAGAGATCCGTAAATGGCAGAGCGACATCATTAAGAACTGTTTCTCGAGTATGGTTAGGGAATTGTTGAAGATTGTTGATTCAATTTCAAATTCAGAGTGTTGTAATGTGCATTATAATGTGTTCCTGATATGATGAGGAACATTCCTCACATTTGCTTCAAGTAGCACTGAAATGGTATTGTCTGCCATGGTCAGAGTGGGAGTAGGATGGATAATATAATTAGGGACAGGATTTTGGGGTCATGCTTGTGAGGGTGATGAGAGAGTGGATCAGAATGAAACAGGAGACGGTCCTTTAGGAGTGCTGAAAAGGGTTAAGGTGATGAATCGGATAATGGCATTATGCTGCAGCTTTTAAAAATGGAGGGTGATCCATTGAATGTGAAAGCTATGGGGCTGAAGACTAGGACAGAGGATTCCTTATCAATTTGATGCAAAGGGTATTGTTTGTAATTGAATAAATTTGACAGCAAGAAATTGGATGGACCATGTCAAGATTTCTAACAACTATGGTAGAGAGGAGTCCTCAGTTGAGGGTAAAGGAATACGTATTTGAACCACCAGTGTGGAAGTTGGCATTGCCTGAAAAATCAATACAGAAGGATTAAGTTGGAAAATTGAAAACTCTTTACAGGTAGAGTGGGAGGAAACCTAATAAAGGTATTTATGTCAATCATAAATCAAAGTATTGTTGATGCTGAAAATCTGAAATGACAACAGAACATACTGAAAAAAACTGAGCAGGTCTGGCAGTATGCGTTAAGAGATGAACAATTAAATTTATTTTGAGTCCAAAATAACTCTTTAGGCTGGAAATATTAGTTAGACTGATGAGTTTTTATCAGCACTTTGTTTTTATTGTAGTTTATGAAGTCAGTGGGCTTATACTGGATATTGGTTGCAAACATATCCTTAAAATGGATATAAAAATTTGGAGACGAGGCAATGGAAAGTGGGAGTTGAGTTATTTTAGGTAGGGAAGGGTGAAAATTTGAAGCAAAATTGGTGATTTTTTTTTCCCCAGATCTGGGCAAGAGCAGGAGCTGCAAGAGCACTGATAGTGTCATCAATGTACTGAGAATAGAAGTGAGGAAGGGGACCCAAGTTGGAGTGGAACAAAGAATACTGTATATTCCATTAAAAGCTCAGGTGTGGCACTATATTCACACTTTTTTTTTTTAACTCGGAGGAATGAAGAACAGTTAAAAGAATGACATAGATACTTGTTCACTCATGAACAACAGTGCCAGTCTTGTCAGTACGTTTAATGACAATGTTGGTGTTGATTCTGAGAGAACAGAGTGTTGCATGTTCAGAGGGAGACAGATTAAAAAATTTGAGATAGCAGTTGTTAAGCTACCAGCTCTCAATAGAAGAATCAAATGAGAAAAAGAGGCTATTGGGACGAGTCTAGATGGAGTGAGAATACTGCAGATGGGAGAAAATGTATTCTTTGAGAGAAAACTCCTTCCCCAAGTGAAAGCAATAGGAGAACTGCTCAGCATTCTGCTCATTATGAGAGTTGGGTAATTAAGGTGATTTAAGCTAAGTATGATTCTATTAACCCTCTTCTTGACCATTTCCAAAGCCTGGAAATCCTACCATGTGAGAGGATGCTGTATTTGAAATGAAGCCTAACCAAAGTAGTACAATGACAAAAGTCTATTTTGATATTAAACCTTGGAAGTAAACCAAGTGCTATATTTACTTTGGCTATTACTTCATTGCAATTTTGTGAACCTTTCAGAGAATTGAGCATCTTCTCTTTGAATAGACTGTTTACCTTTCCTGTAAGGTATATGTATAGTTGTGCATGTGAGTAGAGCATTTATTGAAGATAATTACCATTTGTACCAATTATGTACAATTTCCCAATTGCGTTATGATCCAGTTAAAACAGTTTTCTCTCATCACTTACACAGACCTTTGTATCATCTGCAGACATAGAGACCATTGTCCTAATGTCAACATTCAGACCATTCTTGAGAATAGTAAGCTGCAACATCTTGCAGGGAACTTTGTATTTTAATAATTCTGCATTTAAATTGAGCACCACAAAATACAGGGATCAATCAAGAATTTCATAGGACATGAAGCCATGTGGGGCCATATGAAAGAAATTTAAATCTATTTCCCAATGTGCACAATTCAAACAAAAAATGTTATTTCAGTGTGTGAATAATTCTACCAAGCTCTGGAGTCTTGCACTATTCCTCAGCTCTTGCCGTGTTAAAAATAAATTTTGCCAGCTTTTAGACATACAGGGCATTTTTAAATTCAGGAATGGAACTCTGAGTCAGTATTGTGTCAGATATTCATTCTGAAACTTTGTGATTTGAATAGGTCAGAATTTTTGGAAAGCTTGCCTCCCATTTGTAATCCTAAACTTCAGGGGCTGAATGGTGTTTGCAAGTTACACAGTTAATACAAATGTATGGTTAAATCTAGGGCTACTAGCAGAATCTATTTGTAAGAAAAGGATTCTGTGCAGTCCTGGTGTTAAATTTTATGGCAAATAAAACACCTTACATAAGTTTAGTGTATTTGGAAAAAGGACAGTAATTTACCAGCTTGCAGTTGCCGTTGTGAAGCTGCATACCATACAGACAATAGTATGTAGAAAGTACTAATATAGGCATGTATTTCACATAGCTCAGTGTAGCAATAACTGTTTTTAGCAGAAATCTTTAAGCATCTGTGTTTTTCACTGTTGTTCAATTTTTACTTTAAATGTTATTTATATGCTCCAGATGTTAGAAGTGTATGACTGGCCACACATTCTAAATCTTTTGAGACATCTTTCAGGTCTTCTAAGCTCTCAGATCACTCAGATCAAAAATATATAATTAATGAAATCTCATTTTCTGACGTTCCCTCTGAGTCCAACATATCCTTTTTCTTGACATTCCTCCTGCAACTGATTACTCCAGCCAGGTTGCCCAAAAATGCCGATTGTCCCTCAAAATACAGTGGCATCACGGGAACAAAATGACATAGACATTGAAGCTTAATTTTGTGCACATAGTTTAAAATTCAAAAACTAAAATAGTTCTGGATCATTCTTTTCAATGTCCATGCATTATAGACACAACAAACAAAATGATGTAATTGTTTTGCACTCCTAAATACATTTCACTTATGAGAAAGAACTTATGATTTTTGAAAAGCACCTTCAGAACATAAACTGGATGTTTAGCAATGTGTAATGTCTCATGACTGTGCAATGTGCCTATTTTAGTTGGATTAAACTGAATAGATCATAATAGCAACAATGAACAGGAAGGAGTGCAATAATTTGTTTTGGGATAAATGCGTGTAATCTGGGGACTCGAGCAACAATTGTGATTCAGTATTTTTTAAAGAAACAAGTCACTATTCATTCCAGATATTCCCAACATACAATAAATAAAGTAATGGGACAAAATTAAAAATTATTTCTCCAATGTTCATAAGAGAAATCATGATTATTCCATATGATTTTATGCCCAGTTTGGGTAGGGACCTCTTTATTAACCACTTGATGCACAATTCCTTTCCATGTACGTGGTTCTCTGAGTAGTCTTATTCATTTGTAAACTTATAAAATAAATGCTTTGATAGTTCCAACTAACCTAGACCAATTTCTCCTAGGTCCTTTGCTGTATCATTTTGAGAATATGGCAAATGAAAAATCAATAGAACTGAGCTACGAAGACATCAGGCATTGCATACTTCAGTTTGGATTCAAAATTGAGGTGAGATTGTGAACATTGTTAGAAGTAGAAAAGACCCTTAAGATGGAACAAGCACAACCCTTATTAATGGTCAGTCCACATACTCAGTTTCTCACTATTTCATTCATCCTTTTTTAATGTGTTCTCCAAATGCAATAAGGGAGAAGTGTGAAAAAGCACGTCTTTGGCTCAACTATGAACAATTGTCATGATATAGATATTCATTGCTACACATTTGCATTGCCACATTCACTGAAACTCAATGACATAAATTTCCTGCTCCTCTGATGCTGCTTGGCCTGGTGTGTTCATCCAGCTCTACACCTTGTTATCTCAGTCACTACATCATGTTGGTTTTCCTGGCTAAAAGGTTTTGGGGGCTATTTAGCTCAACTGATTTGATAACTAGTATGTGGTTCAGAATAATACAAAAAGCATATGTTTGATTGCCTTTCCAGCTGATAGAGCACTGAGGTCCACTTTTTGACCCTGCCCTGAGGGTGGAATGTAAGGGCCAACCACCATTGATAAAAACTGCCAAGAAAAATGGCTTAGGATGAAGCATCAGCAGACACTGAGCTAAGGATCTGCCTTTACACAGATCTCTCATAGAATGGATGCAATGAGATTGTATTCTTTGTTGTTGAATTGGAGCAAAGCCTCTTTCCAGATGTTTGCTACATTATGTAGTCACATAGACTTTCACACTTAACTTGCGTATTGTTTTTTGTCCAATGTTGAGTTACCACTACTAAATCTCTTGACAAAAATTATTAGAAATTATGCTACCCAATATGTACTGTTTAGATCAACTGGCAAATCTAGTCACTCATGAAGTTGTGACAATTGGCACATAATCGAGTCCAACATCCTTGGATGTGCCCAAAGAAAACTTTCAAGGTCTCTGAAGTCTATAGTGTTAGCAGCCTTTTTGGATTTAATGGATATTTGTTTAAATTCAGGAACTTCTGGTAACTTTTTGAAGACATTTAGCAATTGTCTTTTCGATGTCAATGAGTCTTAAGAGAACTTTGAAGAAAGTCTGTCATGGAAGTAATTCAGCATAAAAGTTGCAAATAAAAACTTACATCACGTAGTTCGGGTATGATATTACCTATTCACCATGATCATGCCTGTAGCCAGAGACTTTAAAAAAAAATGATGGTCAGAATCTCTTTTATTACTTTCTTATGAGCTGGAAACCAGAATAGGCCATTTGGCCACTGGGGCCTGCTCTGCCATTTTCAGAAGGTCATGGCTGATCTGCTTGTCAATTTCACATTCCCATTTACCCCTAATAACCTTTTACTCACTTGTTTAACAAGAATCTTTCCAGCTATGCCTTAAAAATGTTGAAAGACTCTGCTTTGATGACCTTTTGAGAAAGAGTTCCAAAGACTCATGACTTCCTGGGAGAATTTCTTTTCCTCATCTCTGTATTAAATGAATGACACCTATTTTCAAACAGTGATTCATAGTTATAGATTCTCCCTCAAGAGGGTGCATCCTTTCCACATCCAAGCTGTCATACCCCCTCAGGAGTTTGTATGCTTCATTCAAGTCAACTTTTCTTCCACCTTTTAGTACCCTGGAATTCATTTTATTTGGCTAAACATTTTTATTTTTGGGAGTATAGGAAATTTTATGAAGAGATTAGCATTACAGGCATGCACAATATTCATACTAACCTTAATATTCCCTGCATCTTGTCTTATTATTCACTTTTTTTTACTCCAGTGACATGTTGGGAGAGGAAAATAAAACCTTTTTCAATACAAAATAAAATTTGACAAAAATAATGGGTAAAAGAGAAAGCTAAAATAATGAGAGGAGTAGTTCTAGCAAATACAAAGCATAATATCTGAAGATTACAGTTGGAAATACTAAACAAAATATTGAGACAAATTAATTTATGTTAGAAAATTTAATAGCCATAAACAGCACACAACAGAACACATTAACTTGTATAAATAACTGCCTACAATCTTTAGGAAAATAATCTTTAAGAAAAGATGCATATAAAGTCATAGGATAAGAACAAAAATTCAGCTTTTCTGCAGAAAAATAAGATGGTAAAATGGTAAATTCTGTTTTTGTAAGATATTTTTGTACTGCACCTTGAGGGATTTTTTCATAACATTAAATTTAGAAATAATCCTGAACTGTGATTAAAATTAATCTGTTGTTTTCTCTTGCAGGTGGAAAAGAACTCTGTTCCATCAACATACACAGAAAATGATCAATCCATGTTAAAGTATCTTTATGATTGTGTCTTCTTTGTAGCCAGAAAACCTTTACATTCACCATCTCTTAATGGTTTTCCACCAATGAACAGTTGAGAAAGGGAATGTTGACATTTCCTGTAATAACAAGACTGCAGAATATAAAACTGGGAAAGAAGAGGAGTTACTTAGAGGTCTGGACAATCTGAATGATTCCGGAGACCGGCGTACTCTAATAGTGCCTTTTTCTTTTTAAATCGACTTCAGGAATTCCAAACTATCTAAGCAGTTTCCTTTTGGACATCTAGAAAAGTGCAATGAAGTAATGAATTATTCATATAATCGGCAAAAGGAGCAAAGTTAGAGAAGAGCAAAAGAAAAAATCCGATGTCTAACATTAATTTGCTAACTGTTGCAGTTATCAAGATGCCCTTTGTATGCAAAGTATTCCTGACTGTTTTATTCAGATATGAATGAACATGCAGTAACTAACTTCCCAGTGGCTATTAAGCCAATTTCTTTCCTCCATTCCATAATCTTCAATTATTTAATAAAGTGTCCTCCTCCCCATTACCCACATGCTAACACAGGCACACTTACTCCATCTTGGCAAATTGGATAATTTTGTTGAACCATCTCTGCATTTTGATATCTTTGATGTTGGGATATTAATGAACAGTTCTCAGTGGGCTTTGAGCTTGTTGAATGTGTGAAACTATTTTAGCTAGATACCTTTGCAGTTATAGCAGATGATGTTTTTCCACTTTAAATACAAATGGTGAAAAGGGGGAAATCACTGCATTTTGAATTAGATAGTAGGAATTCATTCTTTGCTGTGATTTATCTAAAAACAACTTTGTCATGCTGTCGTCGTACAATGTTGACAATGTGGCGTTTGAATTGATGACTGACTCAATGCTGCTTGACTTCATGGTTACTGTAATTTATAACTCGCTAGCTGCCATTATTCTAATGGAAACAACTTGTCAGTATGCCTATAATTAATTTACATGTTCAATTTTGTTTCTTGTATAGAATCATTTTTAAAAATCTGTTGATAATGAAATGAATGATGTATGTATCCAGTTTGTCTTTGTTTGAAAAAGACTTGGTCTCTTTAACATCTGGCTTTGCATCATGCCAAAACAAACACCAAACTAGCTAAACTACTAGTACATACATTCTTCGTTCATTGATTCAATGACACGTATGTTCATTAATTGTTCCTGGCAGCATATGATAGAAAAGGCTTTGTATGAGGCCATGCCAAACATGCAGTTTGATTGCAAGCACCTGACCATGATGCTCTGTACTAGCTTAAAAATGGCAAACAGAATAAACCCATCCTCACCACCATCATATTGATTGAAACACCCAGGCTGGAGGGTATTTCAAAACCATAAAAGTATTTTAGGATTATGTTAATAGCTCAAGCTTTTCACTCTTGTGCTCTCATGAAACCCATTGCAGTCTACGTATTATCCAATTTCTAAGTATCAAGTCTCAACTTGACATTACAGATAGTATTTCACATACATGTAACAGTAAACATTGCCATTTGTAAACTACTTTGTTCATACGTTGCTGGACAGTGTTAAAAGTCCCACATTATGACAGGATATTCTTCTTGAGACTGCGTTGTGAATAAGAGTAGATATCAGTCACTACTGTGTATGTTCTGATTTCTCACAAATTCTGAGTTGAGTACAGTTTAATATCAATTGTCGGTGATTGGGCATTTTGTGTATAGTATGCAGGAATTTTCCCAAAACTTTTTAAAAAAAATCAGCCTTGCACCCATAACTTTCATGCCTGTAATACCAGGCTTTTTATATTGTTAGATGCATTTTAAATGGCATTGATTTACTATATTTGGCCCTTAAAAATATTGACTGTAATAAAACAAAACTGAACTTTTAAGAAAATGTCAATTTAAAGACTTCCACAAGACTATTTAGATTTTCTATTACTTCACCAGAAACTTAACTGGAGCTATTAACAGAATTTATTATAAATTCAACCATATACCCGAAAACACGCTGAAAGCAAAAGTCTTGAGATTAAAGAGAAAAGAAGCACATATGTAATGTATTGATGTGGAATATTTGCAGTCTCGATACCATCAAAATATAATTTAGCAATAGTTATAACTACTTTTTTATTGATAGGTACAAGTCTTTGAAGTTTGCTGTTTTAACCAAGGATCCTGAAGATTAAAACTTCTGAGGTGTAACAGCATTATTAGTTATTTTTATCTTGTTCAAATAAATCATCATACCATCTGTTTTGCCAAAGGTTTTCTAAACATCCTGGGAGTTTTTTTTTCCCCTCATTTAAATGTGGGAAGCAATGCTAAATTTGGATTTAAAACTGTTGATCATTACCTCTTGTTTTACTGCACTAGAAAAATGTATAAACCTTATTGGAGATGTATTTTATACTCGGATTGCTTTGTGCTTGGTGAAAAGTGATTAATGTTAACACTAGGTTGGATATTAAAACAATGTGATAAAAGAAAAATACTGCAGATCCTGGAAATCTGAAATACTGTATCTGTGGAGAGAGAAAAGCAGTTAACATTTCAAGTCAAATATAACTTCTTCAGAATGAAGAATGATACTGGATTCGAAACAATTTTTTTTCTCTCTTGCTGCCAGATCTGCTGAGTTTCTCCAGCATTCTCTGTTCTAATATCAGAACAATAGTGTGGACCCATACATCAGTGACTGATTATAAAAAGTATTTATTCAGATTTACGTTGTCTCCCCTCCTGTACTTCTTGCATCATGCTGTAAACAGGGATTTATTCCTGCTGTGGTGGGTCTGAGCTTATGCGTTAAGTTTTTTGCTGCAGTCTAAATAGCTGAACTCTAGTCCAGTTGCACATTGAAGTTACCTCCTCCTATCAGCTTTTCCCCTTTATTTTCCTCTCTAGAGTCTCCCACATTCTTGCTCTGGGAATTATTCTTCCTAGCCTTTAGAAAAGCTATTAGCTAGCTGCTAGAAATGTATTAAAGTTATGTATTTTGATTGTACTATAACATATCCTCACAGAATAATAGTTAACTTATAGTGTGTGAGGAATTATGTACATAAGTATGTTTGTCACATTCATATTTGCAAGAGCTTCCCAGACTTTCCAAGCCTTTAGAGAGGTTATATTTAAACTTTTTATACTTTTGTTGTTGGTGTTATTGATAGAAAAATATTATTAATTGTCTCACTAATTTTCCCAATTAGCCATTTCCATGATGTTACCATGTAGAAGTCCCACTATTAGCAGCCACATTAAACTGATGGTATGCAGCTGAATACAATGATGCACCACAAGTACACAGCATAAAGCCTAAGGAGCATATAATTGAAGTTTTAGGTGCAAGACTGAATCTGAATTTGTCCATTTATATATTAATTAAATTTTGGAATTATTTAGTTAAAAATCTAATTGAATTGCAGCCATTCCTTTCACAAAGATTGTGAAGTATTCTTTAAATAACAAAAAAATTTGGCATTAACATGATCTCATATTGTCTGCAATGTCTTATAGTTACAGAAATATTTTGCCTTTTTTTAAGGAATATACAGAAATAACATTACTTTTGTTTAATGTAAATAATGATAGTTTTGTGGTTTTCTTAGAGGTGCTGTTTAACTAAACTTAAATATGGATTTCTTCCTCTGCCTTCAGAATTCAGTATTAGTCTGGATTACATTGCTCCAAATTAAGTTAATGAATCTATTAGCAGTGTTTTTTTTTTCATTTTATTTCAATGTGGAATAATGGTTTCAAAATGTCACATAGTTTAATAATTTATAATAAATCTGGTTACTCTTCTGCCAGTGACAAGACCTGTACTAAAAGAGAGTCTAGAGTACACAAAGATCTGAATATCAATGCATACATAATAAACATAAATGCTGGAAATACTCAGCAGGTTCAGCAACATTGTAGAGTGAATAAAGTTAATCTTTCAGGACAGACCCATATTTATATAGTTGTGTACAGGATTGGGGAACTCAACATCTATGTTGGCCAATTCAAGAACTTGCCGAGTTTCTGTGTTCTTAATTTGAGTATAGTCCACACAAATGCACAGCATTAAAGAATGCATACTAGAGTTAGTTTCAACAGGTAAAAAAAGACGACTCGTCAGTTTAATTTATTTGTGATCTTACAGCCTATCCCTGCACTTTTAATGCTCTGTTTTCAACAAGGTTACTTTAAAAGTTGTACAGCCATCGAAGCAAATTGCCAGAAACTTAAACATAACAAAACCAATTCTAATATATTTAATGTCAGAATTGTCCTTTTACTATTAAATTTGCTGAAATTGCTCACCTTTATGAATGTAGCAACTGAAGTATAAAATATTGTTTACCATTTGCCATCTATGTTTATGATTGTCCCATCAGTATAAGTAGTGTTTACTTTGATTCAATATTAGGCTTGCCAGTATACTATTAAATATTAAACCTATGATGATCACATGACCTTTTATCACTACAATAACCATAGAACACAAGAACAGAAAATAGATAATGCAGATTGTAACATCCTTTTATTTGAGTAATGTGTTTCCAGGAAAAAAGGTGAAAATGATGTTTGGTATTATTGTAACTATATTGTTTAAAATACTGGTACAATTTTTAAAAAAAAAGTTGTTTTGGCTGTGTTCAGCAAAATATACAAACATTGCACCTGCTTGTTGATGGCTTCCTTTTTTTGTCCCTAGGTCCCTGTTCTATTTTCCCACAATAGACACAGAAAAAAGTATTTGATCTGATATTTGAAAGGTATCAGCACAATACACATACCCAGTGAAGTAACTCCATTTCTGTAAAACAGTTTTACAAAATAAAATAGTAATGAATTACAATAAAATATTTTATTAATACCTGGCTAATGTGGTTTCCTTTGTAAAATACTTTAAACTTAAATCAGAAATGGATTTCAAAGTTATAATTTTCTCATTTATCCAATCTTAGGATAAAAATAACTTGCATCTTTCTACAAAGGAAATTTCCATATGGAATCCTGACAACGATGTTCCTTAGTACCTGTTTTTTTCAAGTGTTGGTGTTCTGTCTCCAAAATGGCATCTGATGCTACTCATGCTGGCTGCCATTTTGCGAAGAGCATTTGCTAACAGGTAGGAAGCATCTGCTGGAACCATGTAGAATAGGCATATTATGACATATGTCAAGGTGTTGTTTGATAGCAGCACTGTCAATTTGAACTTCAGTGTACCTCTTAACTTTGCATATCTATTCATGTGACTGCAACTCCAGTTGCTCATTCACTAACAGCGCCTTGCCTTCTCTCTTACTTCCACAATGCAAAAATGAAATCCATCATAAAGTAAACATTCCAACCCAGATTTGCAAATCAAATCATCATATTGAATGCAAATGTCAAATAACTCTCTTTAGCATCTCTCTCCCAGTTACTTGTGGCTTAGTTCAGTGCTCCTTGGTAACTCCAGGATAACATGTAAATTGTGGCTCATCATCATTGGAGAGTTTGCAGTGGTTTTGCAAGGCAATCGTGAGCAACTCTGCCCTGAGAGGACATGGCGTCAGATTCACTGTTAATACATGGCTATTAGTATGGTCTGGCTGGTTGATGGGTAACAAGAGCACTGGCATACTAGCAATAGTGGAAATGTGAGAACGAGATAGAGTAGTAGGTTTGTGCTTAACAAAACCATTGTCATTCCCCTATCTGAGGGCTGCTTTCTAAGTCATGAAGCCCTGCACACCAATCTATACCTACATGCATAGCTACAATGAAAAGCATTCAGAGCTTGCATGAGAACTGGGATGTGTGGCAGCAGCTGTACTGACATGACATTGGTTTGAGATTCACAGCAACACCCAGATGTTGGGTGTCTTTTAGTTGTGTTGTAATGGAGACATTGACCATCAGATCCTGCATTATGCAGATTTTTTACTCAAAAAAAAACAAATCACTGACCTAAGTATTAATAATGAGGGAAAAATTAGTACAAAAGAAAGTTAACCAGCATTATAAACAGTAAGTTTCTCTAAATTGTTTTGGAAAAAAGAGTTTACAAAGTATTAGTTCTATTAAAAGAATCAGACTGCAGAATTAGTAATGAAGAAAGAAGGGAAACCAAATGCATTATAGAGGATATAAATAACATCCCAGAACCAGTGATAAATCAGGAAATGGAAATGGAGGATCTCTGGAAAATTGCAATCACTTGAGATGCGATACTGAGTAAAATGTGGCAGCTGCATGCTGACAAGTGCCCAGGCCCAAATAGGCTTCATCCTAGGGTCTTAAAAGAAGTAGCTAGTGAGATAGTTAACATATTGGTTTTAATTTTCCAAACTCCCTTGATTCAGAGATGGTCCCATTAGAAGAAAAAACAGCTCATGTAACACTTTTATTTAGAAAAGGAGGCAGAAAGTGGGAAACTACAAGCCAGTTAGCTTAACTTGTGTCATAAGGAAAATGTTAGAAGCTATTATTAATTAAGTTATAGCAAGGCACTTGAATAAGTTATTGTAACCAAGTAGACTTGGTTACTTGGTTTTGTGAAAGGGAAGTCATGTTTGACCAATCTACTGGAGTTCTTTAAGGAAATAACACATGACATGGATAAATGGGAACCAATGGATGTACTGTATTTAGATTTCCAGAAGATAAGGTGCCAAATCAAAAGTTCGTGCAGAAAATAAACCTCATGATTTAGAGGCATCAGATTAGCAAGAAGCAGTGCTGGGACCTCAACTGTTTAAAATTTATGCAAATGACTTTGAGGAAGGGAAGGAAGGTATGGTTGCCAAAGTTGTTGATGACATAAAGATAGGTAGGGAAATAATTTTTAAAGAGAACATAAGGAGGCTGCAAAAAGATATAGGTAGATTAATTGATAGGCACTGATCTGGCAAATGGAGTATAATGTAGGAAAATGTGAAATTGTCCATTTTGACAGAAGAATGAAAGCATATTATCTAAATGTTGAGAGATTGCAGAGCTCTCAGATAGGAGGGAATTGGGAATTCTTTTGCATCAATGATGTTAGGTTAGTATGCAGGTACAGCAATTAATTTGGAAATCTTGTAGTTTGTTATTTATTGTACGGTGAACTGAATACAAAAGGAGGGAGGTAATACTTCAGTTATACAGAGCACTGGTGGAGGTGCATCTGGTGTGCTATGTACAGTATTGATCTGTTATTTAAGCAAGCGTGTAAATGCATTGGAGGCAACTCAGAGAAGGGTTATCAGTGTAGTACCTGAAATGAAAGAGTTACCTTATGAGAAAAGGTTAGAGAGGCTAGGTTTCTATTTACTCGTGTTTAGAAGAATAAGCAGCAATTTCATTTAAACTTATAGAATACTTAAGAATTTTGATAGGGTAGATATAGAGAGATGATACCTCTAACATGAGTATCTAGAACTTTTTTTTCATTCACAGGATGAGGGCGACGCTGGCTAGTCCAGCATTTATTGCCCATCCTTAATTACCCAGAGGGCAGTTAAGAGTCAACCACATTGCCATGGGTCTGGAGTCACATGTCAGCCAGACCAGAGAAGGATGGTAGTTTTCTTCCCAAAAAGACATCAGCGAACGAGATTTTTCTTTTCCAACAATCGGCAATAGATTAGTGGTCATCATTAGAGTCAATTCCAGATATTTATTGAATTCAATCTTCCACTATTTATTGTGGCAGGATTTGAACCCAGATCCCCAGAACATTACCTCAGTGGCTGGATTAATCATTGAACAACAATACTACTTGGCCATTGCTATTGGATGCTGGAACATTGATTAAACTTAAGGAGGTGATAGACAGATTCTTAATTTGTAACAGTTGAAGGGATGGTGGAGAGCTGACAGGTCAGTGGAATTGAAGCTGAGATGAGATCAACCATGATTGGATCAAAAGGTGGAGCAGGCTCCAGGAGTTAAATTGCCTACTCCTGCTTCACATTCTTATGTTCATCACTGTCCTCCTACCCTTCCAACTCTTACTTTTCTACGATCTGGCTAGGCTGCACCCCTTGGGTATCTGAGAGGAGAAAGACACACAGGGAGTTTTGAAGTGAATGGTTTGGGACGGGGTTAGTGAGGAAAACTACAGCTGCATATTTAAAGCATCTACAGTGTGCTAATCAGAGAGATTGTAGGGTGAGGAGGAAGTGGAATGTGAGAAAGTAGACTAGGTCGGATTAAATCATCATTGGTGATTTCAATCCCACCACTGGCTGTGGCCTCAATCATTGTTGCTTCAGTTATTGCAAATCCTATCTCTTCCATCAAGTAAAGGCAAAAAGCTTATTCCCCATAACTCAGTTACCACTACCTCCAGTTTGTGCCACTGTGGCAAACAAGAGTGAGAGAAGTGTATCAGTAGATCAGATGTGATGAGGCAGATGTCATTGTTGAATGACTGGCTCTGTATGCTCACTACTGGAGGTGGATGTGAGGCTTGTAATAGTGTTAACTGTGTGATATTTAAACACAGGCAGTAAGCTATATATAGCCCAACCAAAATTCAATACAACAATAAAAGCAAATTACAGCTGATATTGGAAATCCTAAATACAAACAAAAAGTGTTAGAGAAGCTCAGCAGGTCAGACATCGTCTGTGGAGAGAGGAAACAGGGTTAATGTTTCAAGTCCAATGTCATGCCTCTTCTTTGTAGAAGATTCAACAGAGGTTTAGCATAACTTCTGACTTTCCACTTGTATCCATCCAGAGATAAAGCCTAGTGCTTAGTTCCAGTTTTACTGGCCTTGTTAATCTATGTTGTATTGATACAGCAATGTTCTGGAGAAAGAGCTGTGGGAATAAACCCGAATAGGATTGGAACAAGAAATATTCCACGTACCCTACAAAGTGATAGGCATAACTAGGACCGAACTGCCATAGCCACAACTTGGATCTGCAGAAAATAACTTTTTTTATTCACTCATGGGTCATGGGCATCGCTGGTTGGCAAGCATTTATAGCCCATCCTAGATGCCCTTCATTTGGGGAGGTGATGGCCTAGTGGTGTTATTGCTGGACTTTAATCTGGAGATCCAGACAATGTTCTGGGGACCCAGGTTTGAATCCTGCCACGGCAGATATGGAATTTGAATTCAATATAATATCTGGAATTAAGAGACTAATGATGACTGTGAATAGATTTTTGTGGGAAAAAATCCCATCTGGTTCACTAATATCCTTTAAGGAAGGAAACTGCTATCTTTACCTGGCCTGGTCTCCATGTGACTCCAGACCCACAGCAATCTGGTTGACTCTTAACTGCCCTCTGGGCAATTAGGCCTCGCCAGTGATGCCCTCATCCCGTGAATGAATAAAGGGACAATAAATGGTGCTGGTGAGCAGCTTTTTTGAATTGCTGTAAATTGAACCAGAATGCACTTTAGGAGGCAATGCCAGGATTTTGACCCAGCATTAGCGAAGGTCCAGTGATATGTTTCCAAGTCAAAGTCGTAAAGTGGCTTGGGGGGTTGGGGAGGAGGGGAACTCACAGGTGCTCATATTTCTACATATCTGCTGTCCTTGTCCTTCTAGATGGAAGTGGTTATGGGTTTGGAAGGTGTTGCCTAAGGATCTTTGGTGAATTTCTGGAGTGCATTTTGTAGATAGTATACACTGCTGCTGCTGAGCGTTGGTGTTGGACGGAGTGGATGTTTGTGGATATGGAGCTAATCAAACGGACTGCTTTGTCCTGGATGGTGTCAAGCTTCTTGAGTGTTGTTGGAGTTTCACACATCCATGCAAGTGGGGAGTATTCCATCACACTCTTGACGTGCACCTTGTTCATGGTGAAAAGGCTTTGGGGAGTCAGGTGAGATACCGCAGTATTTCTAGCCTTTGACCTGCCATTGTAGTTGCTGTGTTTATGTGCTGAGTCCAGCTGGGTTTCTGGTCAATGGTAACTCCAAGGATGTTGATGATGGAGTAATTAATGATGGTAATACCATTGAATATCAAAACACGGTGCTTAGATTTTCTCTTATTGGAGATGGTCATTGACTGGCATTTGTGTAGCATGAATATTACTTGACACTTATCAGCCCAAGCCTGGATATTGTCCGGATTTTGTTGCATTTGAACATGGTCCAGTATCTGAGCTGTCATGAACAGCGCTGAAGTAGCTGAAGATATTTGGGCCTAGGACACTGTCCTGAGGAACTCCCGCAGAGATGTCCTGGAGCTGCAATGACTGACCTCAAACAATCACAACCATTTTCCTTTGTGCCCAATACTATTCCAACCAGTGGAGAGTTTTCCCCTGATACCCATGGTTTCCCGTTTGAATCAAATGTGAGTGAATCAGATTTTCTGAAGACTGGTATTTGTGATGCTGGGGACTACTGGAAGAGGCAGAGATGGATCATCCCCTTTCAACTTCTGGCTGAAGACTGTTATGAATGCTTTAGCCTTAGTTTTTGCACTGATGTGTTGGGGTCTTCCATCATTGAGACTGTGATATTTATAGAACCTCATCCTCCTGTTAATTATTTAATTGCCAACACCATTCAGCACTGGAAGTGGCAGGATTGCAGAGCTTAGATCTGATCCGTTAGTTGTGGGATCGCGTGGATCTGCCTATCACATGCAGCTTATGCTGTTTGGCATGCAAGTCCTGTTTGGTGGCTTCACCAAGTTGATACTTCAGTTTTAGGTATGCCTGGTGCTGTTTCTGGTATGCTGTCCTACTCTTTCCACTGAACCAAGATTGATTCCCCTGGCTTGATGGTTATAGTTGCATGGGGATTTGCCATTTGTAAGAGTCAACTTGGTGAAGCTATCAAACAGGACCGTTCGCATGTCAAATAGCATAAGCAGCAAGTAATAGACAGATCTAAGCAATTTGCCAGACCATGAGGTTGCAGATTGTGCTGGAGTACAATTCTGCTGCTGTTGATACTCACAGCACCTCACGGATGCCCAGTCTTGAATGCTAGATCTGTTTGAAGTCTATTCTATTTAGCACGATGATGGTTCCCACACACCACAATGGAGGGTATTCTCAATGTGAAGGCAAGGCTTCATCTCCACAAGGACTGTGCAGTGGTCACTCTTACCAATACTTTCATGGACAGGTGCATCTGCAGCCAGCAGATTGGTAAAGGTGAGGTCAAGTATGTTTTTCCCTATGGTTGGTTCCCTTACCACCAGCCAGTCTAACAGCTACATCCCTTAGGATCTGACCAGCAGTAGAGCTGCTGCCGAGCCACTCTTAGTGATAGACATTGAAATCCCTCACCCAGAGTACATTCATCATCATTAGTGCTGCTTTCCTCTCTCATTTGAAATTGGCAAAATTGATCAAAACTGCAATTTCCACCTTCACTAGGTCTATCTCTGACTCCTCCCTGCCATTCCTCAATATCTCTGTCTCCATTTCAGGGGATAGGTTGGCTACCAATATCTATTATAAACCCACCAACTCCCATTGTTCCCTTGACTATACATTTTCACTGCTTCCTGTTAATTCTCCCTGTTCCTCTGTCTCCATTGCATCCATTCTGATAATGCCAACTTCCACAGGGGGGCCTCAGAAATATCCACCTTTTACCTCAACCAAGGATTTCTCGTCACTGTGGTTGACAGAGCTCTTTACTGTGCCTGAGCCATCTCCTGCATTTCTACCTCACCCCTCATGCAACAATGACAGAGCCCCCTTGGTCCTCACATTCCAAGCCCACCAGCCTCTGCAACCAAATGATTGTAAGTCACCATTTCTGCCACCTCCACTGGGATGCCACCACCAGACACATATTCTCCTCCCCTCCCTTGTCAGTATTCAGCAGGGACCTTTCACTTTGGGACATCCTGGTCCTCTTCTCAATTCCCAACACCTTCCCAGACCCCCATGACACTTACCCATTCAGTTGAATATCTGCTCATTTACCTCCTCGCTCCTCATGATCCAAGGCCCCAGGCACACCTTCCAGGTGAAGCAACAATTTACCAGCACTTCGCTCAATCTAGTCTACTGCATTCGCTGTTCACAATGTGTGCTCCTCTACATTAGGGAGACAAAATACAGACTGGGTGACCACTTTGCAGAATACTACAATCCATCTATCAAAATGATCCTGGGCTTCCGGTTGCGTGCCGCTTCAACACACTGCTGCATTCACATGCCAAAATTTCTGTCTCAGGCCTGCTGTAGTGCTCCAGGGAAGCTCAACATAAGCTGGAAGAAGAACACTTCATTTTCCGTCTAGGTGCCTTACAGCCTTCAGGATTCAATATTGAGTTTAAAAAATTTACAGCTTGACCACCTCCTTCCATGTCTATTACCCACCCTCATACCCAGGTCCTGTCTTGAAATGGGTTGCTTTCAATACAGATAATACATTTTCAACCACACATTCCTCCATTATCACCTATCTAGCTTCTCTTCTTTCCTGGCTATCAATATCGCTTTGTCTGCCCATCTTTTTTCTCACTTTTTCTGGGTTCCCCCTTCACTTATCCACACACTCCATCCACCATCACCATCAGTATGCTTATCACTTTTTCCTTGCTGCTATCAGTTTTGAAGAAAGGTCACTGCACTTGAAACTTTCACACTGTTTACTCTTTATAAATGCTGCCAGACCTGCTGAATTTGTCCAGCAATTTCTGTTTTTGTTTGAACAGAATTTGGAGATGGGACTGAAAACAATGGCTTCAGACTTCCCATTTTACGTTTGGAGGAAATTTCTGCTAGTACTGGATTACAGATAAACAACCTAATGGAGGAATCAAGAGGGATGGTGATGAAATGGAACTGAGATCTATAGTCATGTGTAGGCACTTTATGGTCTTGCAAAATTAATCTTAAATTCAACAATTTCATTTCATAACCCCTCCACCCTTTTGGTTTGGCAACTGCTGACGGTGATTCTGCCTTCCCGTTACACCTCCTCTGGACCCATCTTTTCTTTACTTACCTCTCACTACTTATCCCTATTTGCTTTTCACTATCACCCCTTTGACCTTTAATCTCACCTGCCTTCCAACCTATCCCAGATCTTCCCTTTGTTCTTTCCTCCTCTCCTTCCCCAAGCAGGAGGCATTGACTATCCACAAGGAAGTAGAACCCGGGTGAATATCTAGAAGCATGGCTTTCACAGCTCAGGTAGGAGATTTTCAGTTTCATTCACTAAGACCAAATTACTACAGGAGGATCTGAGATAACAAGGTATAGAGCTGGATGAACACAGCAGGCCAAGCAGCATCAGAGGAGCAGGAAGGCTGACGTTTCGGGCCTAGACCCTTCTTCAGAATCTATCTACTACAGGAGGATGTTTCTTGAATGTCTTTTATTTATTTATTTTAGGAGATACTGGGTTGCCCCAGTCTCAACAAACAATCAATTATCTCATGTAAATGAAACTTTATCAGGCACAACTAATAAAATCCAAATCATAAAAAGATATAGGATAACAATAATCATTTGAATAGACACACACACATATTGCTGTTGTATAAAGCATGATACTGCACATGCTAGAAATCTCAAACAAACACAGAGAATGCTGTGAAATTCTGAAGAGTCATCATTCTGGACTCAAAATTTAAACTTTGTTTTTGTCTCTCTACAGATGCTGCCAGACCTGCTAAGTTTTTCCAGCACTTCTTGTGTTTGACACACATTCCTGTTGTCCCACAAAGTACTTTGTTCTACTCCTATTGAAAGATAATAGAAAATAGGGGGTACAATTCTAAAAGGAATGCTGAAGCAAAAGCATCTAGGTATATTTGGGCACACAGGTCATTGAAGGCAGCGGCAGCATGACAGGTGTAGCATATAGCTTTATTAAAAGGCGCATGGAGTACAAGAGCAAGGTGATATTGAAACATTATAAAAGACACTTGTTAGACCTCAACTGGAGTATGTGTACAGTTGTGGGTGCCACATGCTTAGAAAGATAATTCATCTGAGGAAGTGCAAAATCAATTTACAATAATGGTTCCAGGAAAGAGAAATTTCAGTTATGAGGATAGATTGAAGAAGTGGGAACTGTAGTCCTTGGAGAGAAGGCTCAGAAGAGATTTAACAGAGGTTTTCAAAATCATGAGCTGGTTGGATAGATTAAATAGGGGGAAGATGTTCCTGCTTGTAAAAGGAAAATAGGGTATTGTTTAAAGTGATGTGTGCATGAACCAAAAGTGGTGTGTGATAAAAAAACCTTTTCACTGTATGTAAATGTGGTGGAAGCAGGTTCAACAGAAGCATTCGAGAGGGTACTGGGTGATTATCTCAAAACACATGATGATCAAGGACTTGGGGAAAGATTGGTACTAAGCAATAGAAGTGGTACAGGCACAATGGGCCAAACTGCCTCCTGTTATAATGTAACAACCTGTGATCCTTCTGCAGTGCCACATGGACCACAGCAAAGCCAGTTAAGGGAGGCTGCAGCCACAAGCCCCCTTTATTGTGGCAGTGGTCTCATCCCTACCTCTGCGCCAGGAGGCCCAGTTCCAAGTCCCACCTGCTCCAGAGGTGTATAATAACATCTCTCAGCAGGCTGAGTAGAAAATACCTCGTCAAATAAAAACAACCTGGACCAGTGCCTGGCCACTTCCTTAGTCAATACCTGATCCCTTCGACATTTGCTTCTCTATTATCCTGCGATTTGAGCCTCCGGTCTGTGGGGGGCGGTACTAGGATCTGTGTGTTTTATTTTAATTTACCGTGAAGGTGGGGAGGCCGGTGGCAGATCCTGTTTTGTGCAGCTGCAACAGCAGCAGCAGCAGGAGGAAGGAAGGAAGGAAGGAAGGAAGGGTTTGAAGTTGGCGCCCCAGCAGGACAGCACCGGAAACTCGGAGCGGCTGATGTCGAAGAGGAAAGCGGAGGATACTCTGTGTTGCCGGCCCGGCAAGCGTTTCGTTTCCCTGCTGCTGGAGCGCAAGAGGAGCGTGTGGCCCCCGGCGCCGAGGCCGCAGGCAAGCGCCAAGAGGAAGCTGCTGGAGGAGCCTCTGCTCGAGCCGCACTGCAAGAGGCCCGGGAGCGCGTCCGGCGGCGGGATCGCGCGGCCCGGACACGCGGACAGCGGGAGCGCGAGCGGAGTGGGACACGTGGCCGCGCCCGGGAACGGCGGGGGCGGGAGCGCGAGCGGCGGTGGGGAGGGGTGGCCCGCTCGCGACCCCACTCGCAGCTGCAGAGCCTCCCGCCTGACCGGGACTGCGCAGGTAAAGGCAGCAATTGTGTGTGCGTGAGCTGCATCACTCAGTCACTTTTACATACGTTCATTCACAGAGAGACTTTCCAAGTGTGCACTGTCCATTCCACCGCCACCATGGTCCTTTAGATACCTCTGGGTCCAACCAGAAAGCTGTCATTTAAAAAGAACGCGTGCGCCCCTTTTGTAAGGGCAATTGCAAATACACTGCCCAAAAACTTTTCAAGAAACATAGCCAGATCCAAATTCCTCAATGGCTGTCCAAGAGGAGTTGTCGACTATGAACAGAGGCATACTTTCTATGCCAGGGTAATCTGTATCCTCATGACCCTGAATATACTTCATGCTAACATGACCGTCAAGCAAAGGGACCCAAGATTTGCTCATTGAGGTGTGCAGGAGAGAATGCATACTAAAAAGTGCAAGACCACTGTAGTGAAACAGTTTCATCGGAGTACCAGCGTGCTAAACAGTAAAAGTAGCACCTTATAAACCAAAGATAATCCTGTAATCAATGGATCTGGCCAAAGATTTGCAGCCTGCCACAGCCAGTCACTAATATTGGTATAATTACCAAGGCTTCATGAGCATCCGCACCCATAATGATGGCAGAGCCCAGCATCTCTGTGCGAAAGGCTGTTTTTTAAACCATCTTTAACTAGTACTGTCAAGTAAACAATTCAGTTTGACCACCTCCTGAGGTGCTGGTTTTCAGCCAGCTCACTCCATACAATATCAAGTAAAGTCACCATAGTCCAGGCCATAGGGCTGCTCTGTCATTAGAGAGAGACACATCTGGTGGTGATTTATCCCAAGGGCCACACACCTCAGGCAAGAGGGAGAGGTTGAGAAGTAGAGTCCTTCAAGGTGACCTCAACTACTATAGGAATTGAACTCATGCTTTTGGCATCACATTGCTTTGCAAAGTAACTAACCATCCAGCCAACTGAGCTAAACTGACGAGATAGCTTAGCTCACTGGATAAAGCAAAACTGAGCCCTGACAACAATCATGATTGTAGTACTGAGGACTTGTGCTCCAGGTCTGGTTACACGTTTAGCTGAGCTATTCCAGTACAGTTACAATGCTGGCGTTTAACCCAATAATATGAAAAATCACACAAAAAAAAAGTCTGCAGATACCCCTACAAAGGGCCAGTTATTATCAGTCTATTCTCAGCAATAATCACCAATGGTATGATCATGTTATCTGCTCACTAATGTTCAATTTGGGTGTCCTCAAAACTGCTCAGTCTGACATCATTATAGCCTATAGACATAGGAGCTAAATTCTAAAGGTGAGCTGAGTGACTGCCCTTAACATCAAGGAATCATTAAACAGTGTGGCACCAGGGAGCCCTTTCAAATTTGAGCACAGTGGGGTTGTGGTTGGGGATTGGAGGCAAACTCGCCTTTGGTTGGAGTCATATCTAGGAAGGTGATGGTGGTTGTTTGAGGTGAATCGTCTCTTTTCAGCCCTAGTACATCACTGCAAGAATTCTTCGGGATAGTGTCCTAGGCCCATTGACTTTAGCTGCTTCATCAGTGACGTTCCCTCCAACATAATGTCCAAGTAGGGGATGTTTGTAGGTGATTTTGTGTTCAGTTTTGTTTGCAACTGCAGCAAGACTTGGCAATATTCAGGCTGGGGCTGCAAAATGACAGGTGTGCTACCAAAATGTGAGACAATGACCATCTTCATCTATCCCATTTAATGACGTTAAAATGGTATTTAATGCTGAAACACATTTGCAGTGCGAAGGCTGAATTGCAGTTAAACTTGCATCATATGAATTTTATGACTAATCAAGTTAAACCCATGGAATCATTTGACAATTATGTTATAATAAAGTATACAAATAAATTCAGGTGAGGGAGAAGTGGTGGATGGGATTAAAAGAAGGAATATTCAAATTATTTTTAAAGTATAAACTAATGTAGAATTCCTACAACGTACATACACAATTCATTGCCATTGCTGAGTTCCCCACCAAATTCTGGTAGTTAACCATCAACCAGAAACTAAACTGAACCAGCCATATAAAACATTGGGAACTCTGGAATGATTAATTCCCCCTGAATCCGCAAGGTCTATCTGTTATCTATAAGGCACTTGTTAGAAGGGTGATGGAATACTCCTCGTGTGCAACTTCGACAATACCCAAGATGTTAAATGTCACCCATCAAAAAGCAGCCCGCTTGATGGACAATCCTTCCTCCGCTGTGTACTATCTACAGGATGCACTGCACCAACTTTCCAAGGATCATTCAACAAAATCTTTTGAGTGACTTGTACCACCTAGAAGAAAATAGCATGTGCTTGGGAGCATCACAATCTTGAAGCTCCCCTGAAACTACACACCAACTTGAATCGGGGTTATACTGCCACTTCTTTCACTGTTACTGGCTTGAAAGTCTGGAACTTGTTACCTGACAGTACTGTGGTGTATGTACTCTCACTACAAGAATTGTGTTCAAGAAGATTGCTCACCTTCACTGTTTGAAAGACACTGAGGAATGGGCAGGCTTTGCCAGTGACACTGACATCCTCTGAATTAATTATAAAGTTTTGGTGTGAGGCTTCCTTAACTGCTGAAACTCTGAACTCTGGAGTTAACCTTCTAAAGCATGCGTACCTCTCTCTCCCTTAAAACCTACCTTAGTTATCAAATGTTTAATAATTTGCTCTAATATCTGACTGATTGTCAAATTTTGTTTAATAACATTTCTGTGAAGTTCTTTGTGGTGTTTAACTATGTTAAAGATGCTGTGTTAATGTAGCTTGCAGATATTCACATTTCCAAATGAATTTTGTGTTTACAAGGGTGGCATGGTAGCTCACTGGTTAGAACTGCTGCCTCACAGCTCCAGGGATCTGGGTTTGAATCTACCCTTGGGTGACTCTGTGGAGTTTGCATGGTCTCCCTGTGACTGTGCGGGTTTTCTCTGGGAGCTCTGGTTTCCTCCCGCAGTTCAAAAATGTGCAGGTTAGGTGATTGGCTGTGCTAAGTTGTGCAGGCTGGGTGGAATAGCCATGGGAAATGTGGGGTTACTGGGAGGGGTCAGTATGGGCTCAATGAACTGGATGGCCTGCTCCCAGACTGTAGGGATTCTATGATTTGAGTGGCTGATGATTTGTACTTCTTCACTGAGACTGTTTTAAAATAATTTTTATTATTTCCTTTCTAGAATGCACCTTGGGATGAAGTATCTTGTCAATACAACTCTTTTCAGTTTTGGAGAGTTCAGTTGCCTCCTGTTGACTTGACTGAGATTGAGGATTTTAGACAGCCGAAGATAACTGAAGAAATGAATTGTGAAGATCCTGATGAGTCAGCGGAAATAGAGATGGAGCTGCAGAACTGAGATTGTCGTAAAAAATTATGTTTGCATATTTTGAAATAAATAATAGGGCTAGGAGTTATCCTGGAAGAAGGGAGAAAGGTGCAGTGCATCCTTAGTTTTTCTAAAAATGCTAATTGTTGCAAGTGATCTATATTTCCTGCATTCTTATAGTTTGTCTGAGGAGAACATTACAGGTGCACAAGCTTTCAAAATTTACCAGGCTGTTCAAAAATGCAGGGATGCCATTCAATAAAATTGTAAACAAATGTGTAATTGTTTATCTGAGTTGAAATAATTCTGAGAAGTTCACATCCCTGATTAGTTTATGTGATACTTACTCCAGAGCCAACGGATGTCCAGTAAATGGACAAGCCGCAGTTTTAATATGGAATTCAAACTGTTGATAGGATGTAGGTTGTCTAGTTGTCATTATTGGTTCATGACAGCTCATACAGTCATGATAAAATATAATATTACAGTTATAAAGCTAGTTGGATGTCCAAGAATACTTAAGTTTGTTCATGTTCTTTAGTAATAATAATGTAAAATATGCAATTTATGATTTTTTAAAAAAGTTTACTCCTCTTCCTCTTTGAAGGTATTGATCATGTTTGGATGCAATTTCTTTTGTACTGCACTGGCATCCTGCAGTATCTCATCCAAATGGCCAGCCTTCAAGTGTGAATTTTGAATTTTTGAATTACGGAGAGTAACACAACAAGGAATCAATGTGCACTTGAAATGCTCTCCTGAGCTGCTAATGGGAAGAAAATGCAAACAATAGCTCAAGTCATTAGTCTTAACTCTGAGAATCACAACTGATTTGTACTCTTTGGATGCTGTTGGACTTCCTCTGAGTTTATTTGTTAACCAAAAAAAAATTGCTTTTGAAGCAATTTGTCTGTGAAACATTGACCTCGATGCAGTCAGCCAGCCTTTGTGATCAAAATGTAACTAAGTAACAAAGAGTAGCAAGTGAGAGCAAAAGCGGGAAGGTAATACAAACTAATTAAACTCTCTTTTCTCTCCACAGATGCTGCCAGAGCTGCTGAGTTTCTCCTGCAGTTACTGCTTTTGTTCGTAACACAAGTAGCTTTTTTTGAAAAGATGCAAGTTTGTGCATTAGGTTTTGAGGGTTAATACATTAATAATAGGTCTGCTAAACATTTCAGTAGCTATATTATTTCAAATTCTTTTATTGTATGAGGTGAAAGTAATGAAACTAGTTGATGCAGGTAGACAAAGTTTGCCTGAATTTGCCCGTGGTAATGGGATCTAAACTCTTTTTAATATGACTAAACAATTTATGTGAGTTTATTGTTTTGCACGGTGATTTTCCCAATAACCGTGGACCTGAATGATCTCAAATGAGAAAGAAACCTAGAGAGAGTACTTTCTGTTCAAAGTACTTCTGTTATTTGCAGACTGGTATTGTATTGTTGTGCAGCCTACTTAATTGGGAATCTGCTGTTTGAGTCCAAAGGAAACATGGGTTTCATGATTTTGGTGTTCCCAAGAACTCTTAGAGTGGGTCAGTGTGAACTCGATGGGCCGAATGGCCTACTTCCACACTGTAGGGATTCTGTGATTCTTTCTATGATTTGAGTTATTTTGGGAAAGATGAATGTAGAGGCTTCACCAAAGCCTGGACTTTACAGTCACAGTCCTATCTGATGTGTATGAAGTGCTTTTCGTTGGTAATGTCATTGGAGTGAGTTAACAAACATGAAGATTGTATCAAAGACATCTACCTGGGTAAGAAAATTCAGATTTAAAAGAAAATGGAGTTATCATGAGGCTATTGTTTTAGATTCCAAAACAGATTATTTGAACAAAAATGTATCTCACAAGATGATTCTGTCCCCCTAATTTAGTCGTGCAGACTGAAACCAAACCTGGTCATCGTGGATGAATTGTATTTTAACCTTATATAACAGGCATATAGCTAGTTATTTTGCCAAAATGTTTACGATTATTAGTAAACTAGAGAGTTTAAATGGGTTGTGCATGAGTAAATTTAACATCAGTTGTTTTCATTTTTCAGAGTCGACTAAATAGTGTTATACCAGGCGTTCAGCCACAAGTATGACACGTGGAATTCATATTCTAGGAATATCTCTTTTGTTTTTACTTGCCAAAATACTCTTCTTTTTTTCCTCTTCCCTTTTTCTACTGTGTCACCCTCGGGCTTGTGTTTTGTATGGTTAAGGGAAGAGGGCTATTGGCATGCACGTCTTCGTCGTTGTAACTTCTGACAACTGCAGTTTAAAGTGTTACTTCTCTTCCTGTTTCTGGGATTGAAAAGATGTTAATATCTGTATGACCCAGGGCAGCTTGCCCATGCAATCCTAAGTCATTAGACACTTAGTTCAGTTTAGTTCTGAATTTATTTTAATGTTAAATGAGTTAACACTTTCTGGGCAGAAGGATGGTAATGCATACTTTATCACTGACGTAAAATTGGACAGTTGCTGTTATTGTTGCTCCCTGAACATTCGCAATTGTTGTTGCTATTTCTGGTGGTTTCCATTTCTGAACGGTGTGAAAATCTTGCTTAATATGGCTAACTTGAATTTTTTTGGTTGAAGGAAATGGGTAATATCTGTTGTGCAGCATGGAAATAAATCCTGAGTATGATAGGGTAAGTTTTGTTTTGGAGGTAGAGATGTTGAACTCCGTAATGAATATGTAGCTTTTATTTTCCTTTTACCTGCTGATGTCTGAGCTTCCACATTTTTTTAATGAACTGCTGATTTGATATTTCAGTTGTAAATACAATATCATTTTGTGTAACCATACAATTCACATTGAAAGGGAAACCCAAAGATCTGTATAGAAAATTAATGATGCCTCTGTTGCATGCTTTGCTGGGTTTGTCAGGTATTCAAGGCGTTATTTTATACAAAATTTGAATATTTGAAAGAATAAAATATTTTCCATGTTTGTATTTTATAGTATTTTTGCATTATTTGGTCTGTTTCGGAAGAAGCTTTGGCCATTCTGAAATTTGTCTTCAGTTTTCAAAATCAGAAAAGTATAAGTCTGTCTGTAACTTGTTGTGATCTGAACAATCCATATTATGCCTTTATCTAATTTAAAAAAGACTTTTTGTTTATTAATTTCCTTTTAAAAATAGTGATAATTTAAGTACTTTGTGAGGTCATAGGACCTTAAGTAACAGATCAGGAATATGCCATTTAGCCCTTGAGACTGCTCCATCATTGAGAAGGATCATAGCTGATCTGACATTCACTCGTTCACTCTCTTGTTCTTTCCTGTAACTCTTGATTCCCCTACTGATCAAGAATCTGTCTGTCTCAGCTTTAAGTATATATAAGGACTCTGCCCCACAGCTCTCTATGGCAACGAATTCCAAAGATACTCAACATTCTGGGAGAAGAAATTCCTCCTCATTTCAGTCTTAAATTGGTGACCCTTAATTCTGAGACCATGCTCTCTGTCCCATGAGGCGAAACATCACCTCAGAACTTACATTGTCAAGCCTGTTAAGAATCCTGTATGTTTCAATGAGATCACCTCTCATTCTTTAAAGTCCAGTGATTAGAGTCCTAAGCTGTTTAACCTTTACTCGTAAGACAATCCCTCCATAACAGGGAACATACTAGTGAACCTTCTCTGAACTACCTCTAATGAAATCGTATTTTTCTTAAATAAGGGGACCAAAAATGCTTAGTACTCCAGATATGGTCTCACCAGCACCTTCTGCAGTTCCAGCAAGACTTCTTTACTCTTTTGAACGTCCTTGCAGAAAGGGCCGACATTTCGTTAGGTTTCCTGATTATTTGCTGTACCTGTGTGATGGCTTTATGGGTTTCATGCACAAGTACCTCAAGTCCAGTTTTTTTTTCTTTATTTAAATAATACTCTTGTTTTTTTGTTTTCCTTTCCAAAATGAACAACTTATTATGTTCCCACAGAACACACCAGTTTTGAACTTTTGCCCACTTAATTAACTATCAACAGCTCTCTGTATAAAGAACTAAAGAACAAGATGGTGGAAATCAGAAACAAAAACAAATTGCTGGGAAACCTCAGCAGGTCTGGCATTGAAGAATGGTCACTGGACCTGAAACCTTAACTCTGTTTTCTCTCCACAGGCGCTGCCGGACCTGCTGAGTTTTTCCAGCAATTTCTGCTTTTGGAAGATCTCTCTGTAAACTGTTTGTATCTCTCTTACAGTTTGCTTTTCCATTTATTTTTGTGTCATCTGCAAATTTAGCAATACACTTATTTCCTTCCTCCATGTCATTAATACATACTGTAAACAGTTGCAATTGCAGCACTGATCCCTGTGGAACCCCACTGGTTACAGGTGGCCAAACTGAAAAAAAACCCCTGATCCCCAATGCAATTTCCTGCCCATTAGTAAATTCTCTATCCATGCCAATATATTACCTTCACCACCATGAGCTGTTGTGACTTCACTTTTTGTGGGGTACTTTGTTAAACACCTTATGGAAATCCAAATGCAACATATCTACTGGTTCCCCTCATCCACTTTAATTGAGACTTCTTTGAAAAATACTAATCAATCAGACACAATTTCCCTTTCATGAAGCCGTGTGGGCTGTACATGATTGGATTATGATTCTCTAAATGTTCTGCCATTACTTCCTTACTAATTGATTGTAATACTTTTTCAGCAACAGATTACAGCCCATAGTTACCTGATTTTGCCTCACTTTTTGAACAGGGCTGTCACATTGGCAGTTATCCAATTCTCTGGTTCTTTTCCAGAATCCAAGTATTTTTGGAAAATTACAACCAACGCACCCACAATCTCGGTAGCTACCTTGTTTAGAATCCTAACAAGCTGTCAGGGCCAGGGGACTTATCTGTTTTTAGCCCGATTTGCTTGAATAATACTACTTCTCTGAGAAGGGAGCTTGCATTAACTGTTGTTTCTGAAAGGATTTTTCAAATATTTGTGATCCTTTGGGTGTAGAAGGACTTCCTGAAAGGTCTGATTCTAATGTTTAGACTATGTCCTCCACATCTAGACTCCCAGACCAGCAGTATTTGTTTCTATCTACCCTATATGATTATGTCATTCCCTTGAAAACTTAAAAAAAACATTAATCTTCTAATTTCCAGGGAATATAACTCTACATTTTTTCAGGTATTAGGAGATTTAATGGTAATGCCACTGGACTCATAATTTAGAGGCTCAGACTAATGCTGTGGGAACATATATATAAATCCCACCACAGGGTTGAATTTCAGTTCATAAATTTGGAATATAAATGGTGACTACAACAACTATTGTCGATTACGAAAACAGACATTGCTGGAGAAACTCAGCAGGTCTGGCAGCATCTGTGGAGAGAAAGCAGAATTAATATTTCAGGTCCAATGACCCTTAGAACTATTCATAGCTAGGAAAAGATGGTATAAATGCTGAAGACAAGGGATGAGGTGGTGGAAGGATTATGCAAATAGCTAGAGATGGAGCCCAGGGAGAAAGACAGTCAGACAAAGGGATGGATAATGATAAACCAGGGAGAAAAAAAGCTGATAATGGGGACCATGAGTAGGTGAAAAGGGTTAGCTGTGCTGAAAGCAGCCCATGTCATGACAGGGGTTGGTAAAGAACTTGAAAAATGATGTTTGAGCCTTAAAACTATTGACCTCATATTGAGTCCTGTAGGTTGCAGAGTCATCAAGTGGAACATGAGATGTTGTTCTTTCAGCTTGCACTCTGCCTTGCTGGAGCAGTGCAGCAGGTCCAAAATGGAAATATTGGCTAAGGAATATAGCTTTGTGTTGAAGTGGTAAGTGACTGGAAGCTCAGGGCATTTTTGGAACAGAATGTAGGCATTCTGCAAAGCGGTCACCCAGTCTGCATTTCGTCTCCCCAATGTAGAGGAGACTCACATTGTGAACAGTGAATACAGTAGACTAGATTGAGTGAAGTGCAGGTAAACTACTGCTTCACCTGGAAGGTATGTTGGGGCCTTGAATACTGAGAAGGGAGGAAGTAAATGGGCAGTTGTTGCACCTTTTGTGATAAACTATAATTGATTACTGTTTAAAGAAAACCTATCCATTCCCCCAACGCCCTTTAGGGTGGGAAATCTTGGTTCATCTGTGTGTATGTTACTCAGAACATAACTAAGTCCTAACTACACTCTGAGATGGATGAGCAAGCTATTCAGTTCAAGGACAGTTATGGACGGGTGACAAATGTTAACCTTAACATTGAAACCAACATCCCATTAAATGTTTCAGAGATAGTAGGAACTGCAGATGCTGGAGAATCTGAGATAACAAGGTGTAGAGCTGGATGAACACAACAAGAAGGGTCTAGGCCCGAAACGTCAGTCTTCCTGCTCCTCTGATGCTGCTTGGCCTGCTGTGTTCATCCAGCTCTACACCTTGTTATCCCATTAAATGTGCTGTGATGTAACCAGACCTAGACAGCGTAAGGAACAAGTAACATTCACAATGAGCATCCCCAACGGGAGAGAATCTAACCACCTTCCCTTGGTGGTCAATGGCATTAAAATCTTTGAATACTACACTGTCAACATTCTACTATTAACTAAAAAACTTAATCAGACCAACTACATAAATACTATGATTACAAGAGCAGGAATCCCCGACTCCATAAAGCCTGTCTAAAGTGTGGGTCAGCAGTGTGATGGAATTCTCCCCATTTGGCTGGATGAGTGCATCTGCAAGAAAAATAGCTTGATACTATTAAGTCCACTTCATTGGCACCGCAACATCACCAGAAACAGTGACTTGCTGCACCATATGCACATTGTGCCTGCAGTGTGTATTGTTTACACAATGTAACATCAAGACTTCCTTGTAGCTTTTTTCAAATGTTCAACATTAACTACAAGAAACAAGGTTAGCATCGGCTTGAAAACACTCCTCCTCCAAGTTCCCCTTCAAGTCGCACACCATCTTGGAAATATATAACTGCTCCTCCATTGCCTTTATGTCGAATGCTGCCATTGCCTTCCTACCAGCATTGTAGCTGTACCTACACTGCATCTATGACAGAAGTTCAAGGAGATGGCTCCCCACCACCTTGTCAAAGGAAATTGGAACAGGCAATAAATACCGGCACTCCGAGTGATGCCAACGTGCCATGATTGAATCAATTATTAAAGACGTAGCAACAGATCATTTTGAAATTATTGCTATTGGGCAGCGTGAACTTGATTTTGTAAAAGAGAAATCATTGTCAAAATCATTAGACTTCTTTAAGAAGGTAACAAGCAGTGTGGATAAAGGGGAACAGGTGGATGTAGAGTAATTGAATTTCCAAACAAAAATTTGATAAGGTGCTACATCAAAAGCTACTACACAAGGTAAGAGCTTGAAATGTTGATGGTCATGTATTAGCAGGGAGAGAGGACTGGTTAACAAGCAAGAAACAGAGAGTTGGTATATGTGGGTAATTTTCAGAATGCCAGACTGTAACTAGTCAATCAGTGTACTGCTGTGGTCTCAGGAATGACTATTGTAGACAGAATTGCTGATTATACAAAGCAAAAGGATTTTGTATAGCTTTTGCAAAGCTTCTGCCCTCAAGCATTCTGTTCCTCTAAACGTCAAGTCAACACTCTTAACTTTTTAATTATTGTCTTTATCTATTCATAATCTTTTAAGAATCAATGTCCAATGACTTAAAAATCTCTATTTTTAGCTTCTTGCCATTTGGAAAGTGATCATATATCATTTTCAGGTCTAACATAGATGATTTCATATTTGACTACATTCAAGTCATTTCCAACAATTTTAACCATTCATTTAATTTATTGCTACCATTTTAATTTTATGCATTCACCTGTAATGATTACATTGGCATTGGCAAATTGGTTATATCTTTGTATTCTATAGTGAAATTATAGTTCAGTGTCTTTCACGTTTACTACTTTTCTTTAAATCACCACTATTCAAATCTATTTGTAAACAAAGGAGGGTGTAGGAGACAAGATAAATGCAACAAACCACTAATCACAGTATTATTTACTTTGTATTTCTTAATGGCTACTGTAGTCGAAACAGAAAATGTACATGGAACACAGGCATGAAGAACGTTGCTGTGTCTGATTCACCTGCCTTATATGATATATTGAGAGAGAAATTAGTACAGTGCAGTGAACCTTTTCAAACAATCATCCAAAGCTCCTTGAATGCCTAAATTGAACTTGCCTCCGCCACACTCTCAGGCAGTACATTCCAGACCCTAACTGTTTGCTGGGTGGAAAAGTCTTTTTTCCCCTCTCATCACATGTGCTTTTTTTGCAAATTATTTTCAATCTGTCCCTCTCTTTCTTGATCCTTTTCATGAATGGCAGCAGTTTTTCCTTTTCAACTCTGTTCTGATCTGAAAACTTTGAAAACTTATCAAATCTCCTCTTAACCTGTCCAAGAAAAGCAGTCCCAACTTTTTTTAAAAATTTCATTCACAGGTTAGAATGCCAGGCCAGTATTTATTGCCCATCCCTAAGTGCCCAGAGGGCAGTTAAGTGCCAACCCATATCACTGTTGGTCTGGAGTTAAGACCAGACAGACCAGGTAAGAACAGCAGTTTCCTTCCTCGGAGGGCACTAGTGAATCAGATGGGTTTTTCCCAATCATGATCATCATTAGACTCTTAATTCCAAATTTTTATTGAATTCAAATTCGACCATCGTGGAATTTTAACCTGGTGCCCAGGAACATTACCTGAGTCTCTGGATTAATGGTCAAGCGATTATAATACTAGACTATCACCTCCCCTTGCATTGATGCCCAGTCTTGAGTTGCTATATCTGTTCGCTGCTGCCTAATTGTTCTTGGTGGACATTGGTGTTCATTATGTGCCCTTTCCATCCTCAGTGCTTTCTCAAAGTGGTATTCCATATGCAGGAGAACTCATTAATTGGCTGGGACAGGAGCAGCACTTGGTAATTAGCCGGGGGTTTCCTTGCCCAGGGTTTGATCTGATGCCAAGGGACTTCAAGGGTTTTGGAGTCAATGTTGACAAATCCGAAGGAAATGCCCACCTGACTGTATAACCACTGCTGCCAACTGAATGCTGACAGGAAGAATTACCTAACAGTGAAGTTTTTACAAGCAATTGCACTTCTGGTTTTGAGAATGTGGTTATCAGATAAATGTCATTCATGTAGTTCACAGAGGGAAACATAAGGCAGCATTCTGCAACTAGCTGAATATGGGTGTCTGCACTAAAGGGCACCCCATACTTCAACACGAGCCTATTCTGAAAGCCAATCTCAGAGCATTTCAGTTAAACCCATTTCATGGGAAATGAAAACTGTGGACAAATTCAAATGGTTAAGTTGCTGTTATCAAGCAATCTCAATATCTGAGAGCAGAATTCGGTCCTACAGGGCAAATGATACCCTTAAAAGCCAGTGCCTTCAGCTACCTCTCCAACTGGGACTCCATATTTAATAGTTGAAATCTGATCTGCAGACTTGGTTTGCACTTACAATTAAGGGGGTACCAACCTAAATGGTGAACAACTGCTCTCTTTGAGCAGTCAGCAGTGGAAATAACTGGAGCATCCAACACGTCCTACTTTTAGATCTCTTATGCTCCTGACTGATCCCGACTAGTGATTAACTAGTAGAGTGCCACAAGAATTAGTAGGAGGACCTCAATCAGTATTGTTTATGTTAAAGACTTGGAGATAGGGACAGAGTGCAATGTATCCACATTTTCTGCTGATACAAAAATTGGTGGGAAGACATGTTGTGATGAGGACATAAGAAATCTGCAAGGGGATATAGAGAAGAGTGAGTGAGCAAAATCTTGGCATATGGATGGAGTTTAATGGAGGAAAGTGTGAGGTTATTCACCTTAGTAGAAGGAATTGAAAAGCAGACTTATAGTGAAATGGAGCAAGACTCCAAAAAAGTGCAGTATAGAGGAATCTGTGTGTCTTTTGTGTATGAAACACAAAAGTTAACGTGCAGTTGCAACAACTAACTAAGAAAGCAAATGAAATTTTGACCTTCCTTACTAGGGGATTGCAGTTTCCAAAGAAGGATGTCTTGTCACCATTGTGCAGGGTATTGGTGAGGTTGCACCTGGAGTATTGTCTACAGTTTATTTAAGAAAGGATGTACTTACTGGCATTGGAGGCTGTTCAAAAGAGATTCATTAGGGTGATTCCTCGGATGAAGGATTGGATTTATCCAAAACAGCTAAACAGTTATGCCTTTATTCATCAGAGTTTAGAAGAATGAGGGGTAGTGATCTTAGTAAAATGTATAAGGTTCTGAGGGGGCTTGGTAGGATAGTTGTTGAGAAAATGTTTCCACTAGTGAGGGAATCTCAAAGGAGGGATGTAGTTACACAATGAGTGGACACTCACTTAATACTGAAATACAAAGGAATTTATTCTCCCAGAGGGTAATGCATATCTGAAATTCTCTATCCCAGAGAGTTGTACAGGTTAGATCAGAATACTAAAATTGTTTACAGAGGAGATAGGTAGATTTTTGAGATATAGAGAGTTCAGAAGGGCTATGATGAGTTGGCATGACAGAACTGGACAGGTCCACTATGATCTTGCTGAACGGCCTATTCCTGATCCTATTTCTGAAGTGAAGTTTTTACAAGCAATTGCATTTCTAGTTTTGAGAGTGTAGTTCTTGTATTAATTTACGGTATGATGCTGGAGGGATGTAGTAGTCATGACGTGTCCACGTGAGGTAATATCCTTCTCAAATTTTCATCTCCTCTTATGTGATTTAGAATGCTCTTGTTAAAAAAAAAACTCCCTTTGATCAGTACGGTTTGACTGTACGTTTTAAAACAAAAATCATTCATTTTCTTTCAAATTTAATTTGAGCATTTATTATCCAGCTCATCGGCAGTTTTTGGTTTCACTGGATATTGGCATCAAGAAGTCAATTGCTTTTAAATTTTTGAAGTCCCTGAACTTGAAACTTTCTGGTACTGTAGAAGATGGCCTATGGCTACTTTTTGGGCATTTACTTCTATCATGATCCCGGAACATTTTTTTAACCTTAATAATTCTAAGCGGTTGGTGGATTGCACGAATAAATATAGACGATGCAGCTTTTGAAGCTCGGAGTGATCCCGTGACATTCGAGATGAGGATCTTCCACTATCTTCTAGATAACAGAAGCTGTTTATGGCAGACTCCGTGGATCAATTTGAAAATGTTATTTTAACATTCTTATATTTGATCATGGTGTCACCAATCATCTTTGATGGCTTTGCATGCTAACTGGAGTGTACGCCACTGTGACTGTGTTCAAAATGCAGATAAGTTATCTCCATGAAGGGTAATATGAGTTTGCTTTCGCAACTGATGCAATCCCTTAATACTCGGTTGCCGTTCCATACGACATTAAGTTGTAATTTACTAGAACTATTTAATAAAATTAATAATGAAATTAACATCAGGTCCACTTTATTACCTTGTAGATTCCAGAGTAAATCTTTTTGGGTGTGATTCTGTAAACAGGCTGTAGGCGGCATCCAGCAAACAGCACATTGTACAGAATGTTTAAAGTTTTGTAAATTATGGTTCCTGGAAAAGCCTTCGGGCTTTGAGGGACAAGTCTTAAGTCACCGGACCGATGTCATAAAAAAACTGCCCTTATATTTTGGAACTTACTGTGCGCCGCGTTCTTTGTGTTTAACTTGAAGAAACATTTGCTTTGTGCTCATTTTACAATGATCGTTGTATTCTTTCGAATGCTGAAATTCCTGATTTGAAAATTGGCTATGTGGCTCAGAACGACACATTAGTCTTTCCAGCTTAATGACCACTGCACATTCATTTTTGAATTTTAGTTTGCGCAGTTAAACATGGTGAGTTTTTAAATTCTTGTTCAACTTGATAACGAAGATCCAGGTTATTGGTAACAAGGGAGGAATGAGCTGGATTGTTTTTTTTTAAACTGAATTTCATATTGTATTCTGCAACATTGCTTCGACAATTATGCTTCATTACATGGGCAATTTATTAGCAACAGTCATTTTAATAGAACAAATTGCTGTCTTTAAATGTGTATTCTTATGAGTATAGACATTCATATTTTGGGTTTATTAAAACACTTATTAAATTGGCTTTATAAGTTATAGTGTTAAAATAATTTGGTGGTTTAGAAATTCTATGATATTTGTCTTCACTTCTTGATTTTAAATTGATGTGAATTGTACTTTTGTGTTTATGGTAAAGTCAATGTAAACATATCTCCATTGTTCTCCAAGTCTCCA